TTGGGTAAGGCTCATTTAATGAATTGGCCTTTTTTTAACTTGGTCAAATTAGAGGCATCATTAGCTTTGTATCAATATATGAGATATATATAAATTATTTAGTATTTATTAGATTAATTATTAATTATAGTATGAATTTAAATGTATATTATATTATTAATTTATATATATAGTTTATTATATTATTATAATACAAAAATTAATTATATTAGAGTACGTATAAGGTATATATAATAAATAAAATTTATAGTAATACAAAATATTATTAAATAAATTAATTTTCTACCCCTTCTTCTTCAAAATAACCTGTAGTTTTCAAAGCATTAAGAAAACTTTCTCATAAATTATTTAGATATTTTTTTTCTCTATATAAATTCAAATAAATGGTCTTCAATTGTATTCTTATTTCTCTTTCTAGGTGGAATTCATAGTTTGATTCTATTCCAGAGACCTTTAATGGTATTGGTATAAGTACTGGTAATGGAATCTATAAAATTTTTGAAATAATTAATGGTAAGATGTGACAAGTTTATTTTCTTTATCCCCTCCATCTTCTAGCATCCTTTTTACAAATCTGTATATACAATCAACCCAGATAACACATATTCTGATATAATATTAAGTAGGGTTTCTGCTGATCTATCTGTACAACTACTGTAAAACATTTTTTCTTTTCTGTTCTTTCTATACCACCTACAACCAAACATCTTCAACTCTATACTCTCTATAATATTTACTTTTTCCAAATATTGATTTTCTATCTTTACAATCACATTTTCTCTACCTATAATAGTTGTTTCTTCTTCTAATATATCTATTACTAATTCTCTAAAAAACTTTATATAATTGGTTATAATATGGGGAATGATTAGTTATAAGGATAATGAACATATAGGTACATTTGCAAAGCCAAATATAGCTAATTAATAGAGCATCTGAACATGTAATACAATTTTTAGCAAAGAAAAAATCTTTAAAAATTGAAACTAATATATGGCAATTCCGTCTTTCACATCTAAAAAGTAAGATCTCATGGTTTATATTGTCTTTTTTACAAAATGAATATTATTTAGGCATATACAAAATATTCTGATCAAATAAAAATTTAATGCAATTTTTCTTATCTTACAAGATAGATTTAAGAGTTTTTAATATAAAAACAGAAGTTATAGAAGACAAAGTAGAAGATGAAGACATTTTTAAATTTTTTTACATTTTTTGAATAAAAATTTACTCGAATTTATATAAATAATTTTAATATGCAAAACACCTTAAGCATGAATTTATGCTATTTATTGATAAAGATTATTTTTATTTACATAAATAGTATATGCAATTCTAATCAAGATACAAATGATTAATTAACAAATTTCTATTGATCACCTATGCTACAAGAGTTTATCATTACAGCATAATATTTTCATATACATAAATCAATTAAAAAAAAATTAATAAAATGCTTGAAAAAGGACCGTTAGGTTGTCACTTTCCAAAATTCATTATGCATCTATAAAAAAATATTTATTCTAAAATTTTAATTAAAACACCAAGTCAATGTTCTAGTTTAAATAAAATAAAAAATATGAATATTCTGATAAATTCTTACTTGAAACTAATAACACCTAATTCGAACTAAGTAAAAAGTTAAACAACTTATTCAAAAAAAAACTAATTCCTTAATAGGCCTTACCTGAAGCTCATGCTGTGTAATTCAAACCAAGTGAAAAGTTGAACAACTTATTCAAAAACAAAAACTGATTCATTAATAGGCCTCACCCAAAGCTCATAATGCATAATTCGAACCAAGTAGAAGATTAAACTTATTCAAAAAAAAAAAAACTAATTTATTAATAAGCCTCATCTGAAGCTTATAATACATAATTCAAAACAAGTAGAAGGTTGAACAACTTATTCAAAAAAAAAACTAATTCATTAATAGGCCTCATATGAAGCTCATAATGTATAATTCAAACCAAGTGGAAAGTTGAACAACTTATTTAAAAAAAAAAAGCTGATTCATTAAATATGCCTTGCCTAAAGCTAATGATGCCTAATTCAAACCAAGTAGAAAGTGTGAACAACTTATTCAAAAAAAAAGCTGATTCATTAAATATACCTTACCCAAAGCTAATGATGCCTAATTCGAACCAAGTAGAAAGTGTAAACAACTTATTTAAAAAAAAAAGCCAATTCATTAAATACGCCTTATCTGAAGCTAATGACACCTAATTCAAACCAAGTGGAAAGTATAAACAACTTATTCAAAAAAAAAGCTAATTCATTAAATATACTATATTTGAAGCTAATGATACCTAATTCGAACCAAGTAAAAAATTAAACAACTTATTCAAAAAAAAAAAAAGCTGATTCATTAAATGCACCTTACCAAAGCTACTAATATATAATTCAAACTAAGTAGAAAGTGTGAACAACTTATTCATTAAATAGGCCTCACCCAAAGCTAATGCTGCATAATTCAATGTGAACAACTTATTTAAAAAAAAAAAGGCTGATTCATTAAATAGGCCTCACCCAAAGCTAATGACTCTTAATTCGAACCAAGTGAAATATTGAACAACTTATTTAAAAAAAAAAGCTAATTCATTAATAGGCCTCACACAAAGCTCATAATGCCTAATTCAAACCAAGTGGAAAGTTGAACAACTTATTTAAAAAAAAAAACATGATTCATTAAATAGGCCTCACCCAAAGCTTATAATGTTTAATTTAAACCAAGTAGAAAGTTAAACAACCTATTCAAAAAAAAAAAACTAATTCATTAATAGGCCTTAACTGAAGCTCATTATGTGTAATTCGAACCAAGTAAATAGTTGTACAACTTATTTAAAAAAAAAGAAGCTGATTTATTAAATAGGCCTCACCCAAAGTTAATAACACCTAATTAGAACCAAGTAGAAATTTGAATAACTCATTCAAAAAAAAAAGCTAATTTATTAATAGGCCTCACCCAAAGCTCATGAAGTGTAATTCGAATTAAGTGGAAGGTTGAACAACTTATTCAAAAAAAAAGAAGCTAATTTATTAAATACACCTTACCTGAAGCTAATAATGCCTAATTTAAACCAAGTAGAAAGTTAAACAACTTATTTAAAAAAAAAACATGATTCATTAAATCGGCCTCACCGAAGCTCATGATGTGTAATTCAAACCAAGTAGAAATTTGAACAACCTATTCAAAAAAAAAAAACTAACTCATTAATAGGCCTCACCCAAAGCTCATTATGCGTAATTCAAACCAAGTAGAAAGTTAAACAACTTATTCAAAAAAAAAGTTGATTCATTAAATAGATCTCACTGAAGTTCATAATGTCTAATTTGAACCAAGTGGAAAGTTGAATAACTCATTCAAAAAAAAAAAGCTAATTCATTAAATAGGTCTTACCCAAAGTTATTGATACCTAATTCGAACCAAGTAGAAAGTTGAACAACTTATTAAAAAAAAAAAGCTAATTCATTAAATAGACCTTACCTGAAGCTAATAATGTCTAATTTAAACCAAGTAGAAAGTTGAACAACTTGTTCAAAAAAAAAAAAGCTAATTCATTAAATACTTCTTACCCAAAACTAATAATGTGTAATTAGAACCAAGTAGAAAGTGTAAACAACTTATTCAAAAAAAAAAGCTAATTTATTAAATATGCTTTACTTGAAATTAATGATGCCTAATTTGAACCAAGTGGAAAGTTAAACAACTTATTTATTAAATAGGCCTTACCCAAAGCTAATGACACGTAATTCGAACCAAGTGGAAAATTGAACAACTTATTCAAAAAAAAAAGCTGATTATTAAATATGCCTTACCCGAAGCTAATAATGCCTAATTTGAACCAAGTGAAAAGTGTGAACAACTTATTCAAAAAAAAAAAAAAGCTGATTCATTAAATATGCCTTACCTGAAGCTAATAATGCCTAATTCTAACCAAGGAAAAGTGTGAATGATTTATTAAAAAAAAAAGCTGATCATTAAATAAGGCTACAAAGTAGAAAAGTAAATAACTTATTCAAAAAAAAAAAAACTAAATTTGTACTATAAGCCTTCCCTGAAACTAATTTGAGCCATGTAGAGATTGTGAATGACTTATTTAATTTAATCAATAGAGTAAGTTACTTATTCTAAAAAATGATCATTACACAAAGTTAAAATTAGCAGCGATCATAAAATAAATTTAATGTGACTTTCTGTGTAATTATGTGATATCATTGGAGTTTGCCCACCTATACAATAGAAGAACCATAAGAAATTTTAAACCCCATGTGCCCACCTATACTAAAGATCACCCAAATTAATAAAATTTTCTCGGGCCCTTCACAACGTGAAAAATAAACACTGATTAGAATTCTAATCTTTAAATGTTTATCCAGATGATTATCAGATATCTGGATCTGAATTTATCCAGATATTTGTTTACTATTGATATCCAGATAATTATTCAAATACCTTTCAGATTATCTGAAAGAGATATTAGAATAATTTTTGAATACAAACTTTCTAATACTAACCATAAAAGCTATTAGAATGATTATTTTGCTTTATTTACTGTATTACTGTAATTATTATACTCATGTTATATTGATGATTGGCCAAAACTCATATTACTGCAGTCTTCTTTTTTACATATCATGTATTATGCAGGGAACACAGGTTGAATCAATGAATAATGGGTACATATCGAGAGATACATATATGCCAATTTGTAAAATTGGGCCTTTTTTAAAATTTCTAACAAATTTAAATTAGGTCACTAGACTTATTAATTTATTACAACACAGGGTGGCTATCAAAATTATGAGTCACATGATGCTATTTATAATAATGCTCTAGTCATGTCATGTTAAATTAATCTTCTTACTCTTAAGCTTTATATTTTTGAGCTTTGTATATACTATGGATATATATACTATAGTAAGTAATATTAGTTTTAAAATAATATATTCTTATATATTTTTAATATTAAAATTTTTGATTTTTTTAGTATACAATGCAATACAATTCTGCTTTAACATGTGTTTCATGCTCATTATATCAATATAAAACTTTTAAAAATAACAGAGGCTTGCGATTATATTGGCAAAGAGTTTATCAAAGCAAAAATAGCAACTATTCTAATCAAAGACATACCAATACCTCTATTTTCTCATGTGTTTTCTGTATTTTGTGTCCTAAAAAAGGTTACAAAAACCAAAAAGGTTTAAGTCGTCATGAAACTATAGTTCATTCACATTATAATACACCACAAGCTGGGCTTATTCCACAACCATTAGAAGCAATTATTGAATTTAAAAGCACATTAATTTACATGATACAAATTAAGCTAAAAACTAGTGCAAAAGAAGTAAGACAGCAAGTAATTACAATGCCATGTCTTGAAAATCAATTCATTAGTGTATTTGATAGTTTTATTACCTGATATTCGCCAAGTCATGGGTGGTATCAATATATTTTTACAGGTGTTAATGCTTATGAAAGTTTAGGGCAAATTTTTGGTGATGAAAAGTGGGAAGTTCATGAATATGAAAACAAACAACAAACCTGGGTAATTTTAAATATGTCAGAAGATGAAGAGGTGAAATGTTTAAGAACAATTAAGAAAACATCATCAAATTGATCAAAATTAGAAATTCGATGGTAGCGTAAAGAAATTATAGATGCAGCAAATCATATTTCAGGTACTGGATTTCTTTTTATTAGATTTAATATCGCACAATTCTATTTTAAATAGGATTAAAATTTTATTTTAAATAAAATAAGTTTGATATCTTTATTACTTATTTGTATTTTAAGTAGTCATTAACATAGTATATGCATTTCTAAAAAGAATTTGAGTAGTATTTGAAACTGGTTAGGTTTAGCAGCAAAGTATAATCAGGCTATAAGTTTGCATTGTGTTTAAGCAACCAGTTAATTAATAAAATTACTTGATCACCACTATCACGAATTTCTACAGAGGTTCTGTTGATACAATTAAAATTTTGATAGCAACTTGGTCAAAAAAAAAAAAAAATCTGTAAGCTAATATTTATTTTTCTTTTGGTATAGTAACCAACAAACTAAATTCTTAGTTACATTATTTAATAAGAACTATTCTAAAGAATAAGCCATTGATTAAATTCGATTTTTATTTTTTTAATAGATTAGATAGAAGATGCTTGAGAACTTATGTTGGAGTTTACTATGAAGTTTGGTATATACATCTTTAAAGATTATAAGAGTACTTAAAATTTATCAAAAGAAAAATGCTATGAATCAAATATTTATTGATACTATTGAAATGGTGAACTAAATTTATTAATTAGGTGAGTGCAAAAGCCCATTTATTATCTGTTCAAAATTAGCAATTCGTTTTCAAGTATTAGTTATATAACTACAGAACGATAACCATTGAAATTCAAGCATTATTCAATTCTTATTTCTTAGGGGCTTATATTCAAACTTTTTTTAAATTATGAATATTTTTTAAAATTTAATCTACCAGTTGGACCATTACATCAAAATTAAATTATACTCAGATTTGTATTAGATTTATTTTCTTATTACGATGAATTTTATTAATATGTTATATAAAATAAGTGCTCTATTTATAGTTCTATTAAATTAATGCAAATAAAACAATGTTTGATATTTTTATAAGCTTGAAATCACAATAAAACCCAAATGCTAGATTGTGCAATAAATTCCTACCTTGAACAAATTTCAAATACCATGTGAATACTTTCTTTTCATTTTTATATTTTGTTAAAATTGTTTTATCTATCAGGATTTTATTCAACAGCTTCAAATATCACTTAAATACCTTTTTTCGTCTTTAGAAATGTCTATACCATTTTTATAATAAATCTAACATTAAGTTGTCTATTAAATTTTCACATTTAGCAGATTCCAAATACCATTCAAATGCCTTCTTTTTACCTTTAAAAATATCTAACCATTTTAATAGCAATGGCAATTTACAAATGAAATAATTTGGTAATTGTTGCATAATGGTGAATATAGCCTTGAATGAATCAATAACAATCTTTGAACTTACCAGATTAATATGATCTAGGCAAAGACAGGTACTTATAAGTTTAAATATTCTTATGCTCAATAAATCAAACGAATAAAATGAAAAATTGTCTAATCACAAATATATACTTAGAGATTAACCAATTTTAGTCGATCTTTGTACTAGCCACCTATATTAGTGAAATAGTATAGGAATTAGAAGATTATGCTTGGCCATGATGGTTACTATATTAATATAAATAAAAATATTTGAAAATATTATTATGTACTTATAAGTTTGAATCATTTATTTTAAATGGACTAATAAATAGCTTTTATACTTACCTGATCAAATTAATATAATTTATTTATATTTAATATCATAATCCAATAAATAATTAACTTTAGAATTTTCTTCCGCCTTGGCAGATTTCAAAACCATTAAGTACTATCTTCTTATCATGTCATATTGATAGCAACGTCCAACTTTATATTGTCTATTTAAATTTCCAGATTCAACATATTTTCAAATACCATTTAACCCTTTAGAAGTGCCAATATTAGATTAAAAAAAAACCTCAATATCAGATTGCTTGTCTTCTTTCAATCTTTAAAAATACTTATGCTATTCTGATAGTAATATCCAACATTTTTCTATAATTTCCACCCCTTGGAAGTGCTTATGCCAGTTTTAAAACAAAGTTCAATATTATATCATCTATCTGAATTTTCACTCTCAGCAGATTTTCAATACCACCTAAATGTTTTCTATTTATTTTAGGAAATACCTATATATTTTTATATAATAAGACCGTATTTAGTAAATTTTAAATAATCTGAAACTTATTGTTCAAAGTATGATAATACTATAATCACTAATCTTAAACAAACTATAAAATAATCTTTGCACTTACCAAATAAATTAATAAAATAATTTAAGAAATGAAATATTAAACTTTTAATAGCCACTAAAGTAGTGTGAATGAAAAATTCTAGAGTGTTATTTAATGGCAAGTACTTATGAGTCTGAATTCTAAATAGACTAATTAGTTTTAATAGTAATTCTAATAATAAATTGTTTATTATAAACTCACCTAATGCAAATGAATTATCTGAGCAATATTGTTAAATAAGCAATATTGTTAGATAGTAAATCTTAATAAATCTGAATTGACAACTGGAAATAATCCAATAAATGATATTTAATTCTAAAATATTATTTAGTGGTAAGTACTTTATAAGCTTAAATAATTTGTCTCAAACAGATTAAGTATTGTCTAGTAATAAATTAAAACCTAATTTCACTCAGAGAGAAAATGTTACTTTCTAATATAAGCATACATTTACGAATTTATTAAAATCTATTTAATTAAGCATTAACATGAATAGAAGTGATTTTTTCAAAAAAAACTGGCACATTACGAGTCAAAAAATATAAATTTCTATTTTCCTATTCCATGATTTTAGTAATTGCTGATTTGCATATATTTTCTTTCTCATCATCCTTTAAAGTTTTTCGAAAAAAATATATAATATGCTGATGATTTTTTTTCTCCACAGCAGAGCATGAAAAGCCATGTATTCTGAAGTCAGAATGAATATTAAGAAACTCAGGAATATAGTAAATTAACATATGAATATAAGGGGTAATGTCATTAGGTTGATAAAGCCCTTTGACAAATGTTTGTGGTGAATTTGGATTACCTAAAATAAATATTAAATAAATTTAGTGTAATGAATTTAAATATAAATACATATGGTTAATTGTTATTAATAATAATAGGTTTAAAGATCTGAAGATGGAGTTAAAAATAGATTCATCCAATTTAATGCTTTCCTTTTGAACTCTATTTCATTTACATATTGTTTGTGCATGTCCTCGTAAAGCTTATCAAATCTATTCCATAAACGTCAAATTAATTGCACACGATTTTTGTTTGAAAACACCAGATCTAAATTAAAATTTTGTAACACCTTTAACTTGTCTACTCTTATTAAAGATATTGAGGTCCATCCTTTTGTATTCAAATCCTCCCACTAAGCAAAATGAACATAAATTTGTAACTAATAATATTACGTATTCTAGAATTAGTTTTAGCACAAATTTCTGATATTAAGAGCAACCATAACTGGTCTGTTATTCATAACATAATGTGGAGCTCATCGACGACCCAATGTGACAGAGGAATCATAGAAAATAAAGGTTTACTTTTATGCTCAGGTATTTTAAAATAATTAATATTAAGATCTTCTATATTTTTGGATATAGCCCAATCATATATTTCAATTCCATTCTGCTTTTTTTTAATTAAACACCATGGACAAAAGTCTTTCGCATTTGCTATTTTATGTCCTAAACAAATTGTTAGAAATTTCCAATCAGCTAAAAAATATAGAACTACATTCTATCTGCGTCCTTCAGCATCCCAATAACCTGATTGAATCTCGTTTAGTTCTTGAATTAGTAGTGCTAATACATAAGCTAGAATTTCATAGTTTTCAGTACTGGGGTATAATAAAAGGGTATAGTGTTTTTCTGGACAATAAATTAAATTTAAATTGTTTAGTAATGTAAATGTAACCATTACATGATTTATTTTTTTTCTGACATTACGACCATCTCCCAAAATTCGAATATGTAAAGTTGGATTTGATAATTGAAGAACTTCTTTTTAAATTAAAAAGGGAATAATGTATGATAAAATGTTTTTTAATGATCTATATGCAGCTTTGCCTCTCGATTTTGTGACTTCTTCAATTATTTCAATATCATCAATATCTATACTCTCGTTCATTTCATCTGTTTGTTGTAAGCTACTTAAATTAATATATTGAATTGGTATTAATTGTTTCATCTGATTATCAATCCATTGTTTCATTTTAATAACTCTCCATGCTCTAGGCAGATCTTTGTTGATTTTTGCAATAACTCGATATGCATCACGAGAAATGTGCTCTTTGTCCATCGCATGTACAATAGCTAGTTGCTTCAGATTATCATTATTTTGTTGATTATAAACAATTCGAAATTGTTGATCATTTACTGAAAATTTTATTTCATGTAAAACTACCTTATCGGTAGAATAAAATGCTATAGGAATTGTTTTATTAATCGAATCTTGAAATAGTAATGCCCCTTTTGTGCTACAATTTCTTCATGCTACTTTACTTAACAAATTATAAGGTTTTAATTGTTGTGTAATCTGATTTGATTTTGATTCAACTTGTTGAAACAATAGTGGTTTGAAAATTTTAGACCGTTGAGTTGTATTTGGATTATATGATAGATCATCTTTTTTTTTTACTAGATTTATTTTGACCCCGTTCAAAAGCTATTAGGTTATTATAATGTTTTTGACAAAGTTCATCTCCAACTTTAAGTGCATCTACTATTAGGTCAGTGTTAGGATTATTATTTGCTATTTTAAGAGATTTTTCAGTAAGTTTTCTAAATATTTCAGAGGTATCTTCACATCTACAAATCGCACAAGGCCCTAGATTTTGTTGAACTTTTCCTTTTACCATTATAAAAAAAAATTCTATACTATTTTAATCAAAAAAGAATCTGTACTAAAGTACCTGGTGTAACAAATAAAGTAGAGCAATTTTTAAAATATTATTTATATGTTCATGTGATGTAAACAAATAAACAAACTGCAACATGTAAAAAGTATCGACCAGTGCACCATAGTACTGTGGGCTCGCTATGTGAACCTGGACTACTTTTATTAAAAAAATTAGTAACCAATACTCTTGTCATGTTAGAGGATCTTTTTGTTACTTACCGGACCAGGATCCTGGAGATTCTGAAGAGTATTTTTTGGGGTGCCCCCATGCTTTTGGTCAACTACATTTCCTTTTTTTTTTTTTTATTTGGAAAAGTTTGTATAATGTAGACTTCAGGGGGGCCGGTTAGTTGCTTTATTTCCTTTGGGGTTCATAGTTGTTTTAATAGCTTTTTCATGTATATCTTGATGGACATACACTTTGGCTCGATTATTAAAAAAAAAAATTGAGTAGCGGATTCCAAATTTGAAACTCGTGTAATGTAAAATAAAAAATTAACTTTGTGTGGCCTAATCAATAAACATTACTTTGGTTAGCGGGATTCTAGCTAGTGTAAATGTTCCGAAAAAAAATGAACGAACATAAAGGATAAGCAGGGTTGGGAAAAAAATTTCTGCCATTTTCTGAAAGTAAAAAAAATTATATTCATGCGATATCATGCGTATTTTATAAAATATGCATGTTATTATAAAATACGCATTTTCTCCTGTCTCTAACTCTAATTCAGTACCATAATCAATATCAAAGCTTACACCATTAATAATATCAAATTACCTTTGAACACTTCATATTCATTCACCATGCGACTTGCATCAGGCAAAAACCTACTAAAATGCATTTTTTATTTATCGCACCAAATAGAACATACTTTTCGGATATCAATATCATCCCAGAAATGCTATCGCAATTTATTTCTAATGATAAGTATTTAACTGTTTTTTTTTAAAAAAAAATAGTATGTGCACACACAATGTTCAATGTTCAAGTGCACATAATGTTCATATTAATAAATTACATACACGATTCTAATACTTAGAGCTTAAACCCGTGTAAGAGTCACCCGGGCCTATTTGCACCAGTTGTCATAGTTTGAGTAAGAGGCGAAAAAATGTTATAATACATAAAAATATTAGCTAATTGTGTATACCACACTCTCATATATAGAAAGTTAAAAAACACAGACTCGAAATGGGTAAAAACTTTATTATTTTTTTTTCTATATATTTGCAAAATACACAATATACATGTTATTTTTATTATGAATTAGGGTAACGGGTCTTTCGCCATCTGACACGTGAAATAATGATCATCAAAATTAATTTTTTAACATTTGATTTATTTTCTTACCAATACTAATAATGCCTGACGAAATTATTTTTGCGATGACAAAATATTTCGGCATATTTAGTCTGACAAAGCCTTGGGTTCTACCTCTAAGCCGGGCAAACGTATTTTCTATCTTTTATGTACAAAAGAATCTTAAACCCGGTAGACTTTACTCGAAGACAAGTTATTACTGTCACTCAAATTAGTCCAGCCCACTGGAGTATATGTTCCAGTCCAAGTCCATTCCATTGGACAGTCAATAGCTGGACTAAGTAGCTTAGTCCAGTCATATTATTCTAACAGCAACAACTTATAGGTTCAAAATTGATCGTGAAGATTCTTCACGATCAACTTTGACATACAAGAAAGACTTGTACATGATTATCATGTACAAGTTTCTTTTGTTATATTAAAGTTGATCGTGAAGAATCTTCACGATTGACTTTGACGTAACAGAAAAGACCTGCACGTGATAAGTTTCTTCACGATTATCATATGTAAGTTTCATGTTATACCACTTATAGCAAAAGCCAAATTCAGTAATTGAAAGAGCGATTAACTTTAAGAAACTTTATGATTGTCCGCATGACCCGTTGACCTGGGGTGAATATCTGACCTGTCCGGGTCACTATTTTCTAACCCGGGTAAGAACTCTAATCTCTCATCTTTATATGCAGAAATTTAAATAATAAGCAAAAGTGTTATATGTTATTTATTGTCGCGGCTGAAGCTGGAAATTTGAATTATTTTAATATGAAATTTTCAAAAAATTTTGGGGTGCATTTTTTTAACTTTTTTTTTAATAGTTAGGGTTTAGGGTTAGTTTTGATAATAAAAGAGTATAAGTGGATTTTGGTAGGGTTTATATTTTTAAATCGAGGTCCCTAATTTCTAGCTTCAGCCGTGACATTTATTGATCTCTGTCGATTCAGGATAGGTATGTTGTTTATAAATCTAAGGATGACACGATATTTTGGAATTATTATGAATTTTACTGATTAATAAAATTTCTTTTTTACGCATGTAAGAAAGAAAATTTTCAAGTACATACATACTCTTCATTTATAATAAGCGGTCTAGAATTTATAGAAATCCATGTTTTGCTCAGGGGATTTTGAAAAGGTTGTATGTGCCAAGTATGACAAATCAAAGGTGCCAAGATCTTCCCTGGAACACGTATTTATTTACGGAGGGCTGGCTGTTTTATAATGCTGTAATATTTATATAATCAAATACAATTGGTTATTCGTGAATATTTTTTATTTTTTTTGAAATCACTATGTTAAATAGAAATCCAATTATATTTAAGATTCAACGTATGAATTTTGATGTTTATACTTTATTAACAGATTA